ACAGGCTCAAATCAAGTCTCTGGAACATCCCCAGCTGGGATGGGTCCTCAGTCCTTTGTTCAGAGCTTCAGTTTGTAGCAAAGTTCCTCCAGAAGTAAGAAGTAGGATTGAAGACAAAATGGAGATGATGATGCTGCCTTTTATAGTCCTTTTGCCATGTGGCTTGTGCTTTCTTTGTTCCAACCACAAGCCATCCAGCACATGGCATGGAAAACCCTTAGAGTTCTGTCCATAGGCCAGTCCCTGCATACTTTGCTGAGTTGCAAGGCGTATCTGCCTTCTCTCAATTGTATAGCTGATGGTCCTTAATGGGCCAACAAGCAGGCTAGGCAGTGCTGACGCCACATTGTCTGGGGTGTCACCCAGAAGCATAGCACAAGTTTGAAATACAGATAGGATAGAGCCAATACTTATAACTTTAAATACAAAAATGACACACGCACACAGATAGCATAATCATAACCAGCAAATCATAACCTTTTCATAGACACCTCACACGACAACTTTTGTACAATATTTACTGCAAATATATAACAGTGGTTGCAACAATGACCTATACGGTTACAGTTTATGTCAATAACGTCACGGGGGGTCATGGCTGGGCAGGGGCTATGTGGGGTCATGGATTGGCCAGGGGCTGTGGGGGGCTCATGGCTGGGAAGGGGCTGTGGGAGGGTTGTGAAGTGGGCAGGGGCTGGGGGGGGCAAGGCTGGGGCAGGGGCTGTGGGGACATCATGGATTGGCTAGTGTCTGTGGGCGGGTCATGGCTGGGAATGGGCTGTGAAGGGGTAATGGCTGGGGCAAGGGCTGTGGGGGGATCATGGCTGAGTCAGGAGCTGTGCAGGGGGGTCATGGACGGAGCAGGGGCTGTGGAGGTATTGTAGCTGGGTCAGGGGCCTTGGGGGGTCATGTCTGGGCAGGGGCTACGGGGGATAGTGGCTGGGGCAGGGGCTGTGCGGGATGTGGATTGGGCAGGGGCTGTGGGGGGGTCATGGCTAGGTCAGGGGTTGTTGGGGGTTGTGGATTTGGCAGGGGCTTTTGGGGGTCACGGCTGGGCAGCGGCTCTGGGGGGTTCTGGATTGGGCAGGGGCTGCAGGGGGTCATGGCTGGGTCAGGGGCTGTGGGGGGTTGTGGGTGGGGCAGGGGCTGCGGGGGGTTGTGGCTGGCACAGGGGCTCCAACCTCCTGGGGCTGTCCCTCAATGCTGCCTGTTCCACAGCTGGTTATACCAGTAACGAAGGGCCTGGAGCCGCTGCCTGTGTCCCCAGGAGCTGCTTCCCTGGGATCTGGCCCAGGCCAAAGCCGGCCTGCACTGAGCTCCCCTGGAAGCAAGGACTGGAACTGGCCAGTCTGGCCCTTCTGGGCAGCATTGAGTGATTGGGCTGATGAGTCCCAGCCAGGGGATATAAAGGAGAGCCCAGCTCCAGCAGAGGGTTTGCAGTGTGGTCTCTTGTGGCTGCAGCAGGAGGGTGTGAGAGTGCAGGAAACCCCGTGCCCCCTGCTCCAGGCTGGGCAAGGTCCAGCCCCTTAAGCTATCAGAGCCTGGGGGGCCCCACAGTCGCAGCTGAGAACAGGATTGTTGCTTTTTGTTATTGTTCCATGCTTCTTTTTTGTGTTAAAAAGAATAAAGAGAGCCCTGAGGAAAGGGCTACAGACTGACCTGGACGTGCCTGATTGGCTCAGGCTGATGATCAGGTCCACCAGCCTTTGTGGGCCGACTAGAAGGCATTTAGAAACTATGGGAGTACGTGTGGTATAAGAGCCTACAGAGAACAGAATAGACAGGGAGAGAGCACATGTCAAGTGGGATGTGGGTGGGGAGGAGGTATGTGGAGCAGGACACGGGCAGGGAGGGGGATGCATGGGGCAGGACACCAGCAAGGGGATACATGTAGGGAGGTGACAAGTGGGGTGGGACATGGGCAAGGAGGGAATATGTGTGGGACAGGGGGGGGAATGTGGGGGGGGGGGATACACATGAGTAGGTGGGATGTGTGGGGTGGAATGCAGAGGGGATACACGAGGAAGTGGGATGGGTGGGATGTAGTGGGGGGGAACATGGGGAGGTGGGACAGGTTGAGTGGGATGCAGGTGGGGGAGATACACATGAGGAGGTGGGATGCAGGGGGGGATACACATGGTGGGGTGAGATAGGCTGCAGGCAGGGAAACACATGGGGAGGTGGGGTGGGATGAGTGGGATGCAGGTGGGGGAGATACACATGAGGAGGTGGGATGCAGGGGGGGATACACATGGTGGGGTGA